AAACCCAAGGGCTAGTTTAATAGTAGAGACCGATGCATCCGATATTGGATATGGAGGAATCCTAAAACAGTCCCTTGACAAGAAAGAATCCATTGTCCGTTTCCATTCGGGAATATGGAATTCTACTCAAAAAAATTACTCAACCGTAAAGAAAGAATCCATTGTCCGTTTCCATTCGGGAATATGGAATTCTACTAAAAAAAATTACTCAACCGTAAAGAAAGAAATACTTTCAATAGTACTTTGTGTACAAAAATTTCAAAGTGATTTAATTAACAAAAGCTTTGTTATCAAAACAGATTCAAGGGCATCTAAATTTGTTTTAGAAAAAGATGTCAAGAATCTTGTGTCTAAACAAATTTTTGCTAGATGACAAGCCATTTTATCTTGCTTCGACTTCCAAATTTTGCCTATAAAAGGGGTCGAAAGCCCCTTGGCAGATTACCTCTCAAGAGAGTTCTTACTCTCAAAGAAAAATTATCCCTAACCAATCTCTTTCTCCCAGCAATGACCGGAAAGAAAGTAATCGAAAAAGGGAAGAAGTCCAATGCTTCTTCAAGCACACCTACTCCAATGACATCCGACAGCTATGCGATGGATGTTGGTGACCAGATCTAAAGCAAAGCTTTCAAAAAACAGGTGGAGGTTATCACTCCGACGAGGCTTTCTGCCTCTTCAACACGGCCATCTGCCGTTACTCCATCGAGACCCACTGTCTCGTCTACTTCAAAGGGACCTTCTGTCCCCTCGACCTACTCGGACGCGGTTGTTTCCATTCGTTTTTCTCCAGTTCCTGAAATCAAGACCTATTTTCAAAAATATGTGTCTATACCAGAAGCTCTGGTAGAACCAGAATACGACGACCCGAAAATCAGCGAAGTCGTTAAAAAAGCCTATCCTTCGGGATTCTTTTATATCCCAGAAGATCTTCATAAAACCAGAAGGTTTTATGAATTCATTCTAGTCGACACAAAGTCCGTCGAAATTACTCATATTTCGAGTCGCGATGATCCTTCGAAAATCACGTATTCAAAATTAAAAATATTTAAAGTCATGAACCCGACGTATTGGAATCAAGATCCATACACGGAAAAGACTTTTTCAAAACCTTTTGTTCCTCATTCTTACTCATACAGAGACTATCAGATGGCATGGTTCAATGTCATTTGGTATCAAAATTACGAGCACTTATGGTTTATTCAATTCTGCCAGAATGCGCATAAAATTCATTACCCATATTGGTTCATCAAATGGTGGAAAATCTTTCGATCAGCCAAAGATATATTTCCTGTCCCAATACAGGAATCATTCCACTACTTCGTTCAAAATATATTCAAAATCCCATTTCCATTAACCATGCGCTTTTGCTTATACAAATTCCTTGGATTTTAACTTGGAATTTTCAAATTAAAGAAACCGAAGACCAAATAAAACAGGTCTTCAAAACTATCAAAATCAAATGGTGGGATAAATATACTTATATCCACGCAGACATCCAAGCGGTAAAGGTCTGGCTATCTGAGAATGGCCACCTTCAGGATTTATCCAAAAAGAGGACCTCCGAATTCTTTAATTCAAAGTCGAAGCTACTCGCTGCATTAGCCCAGACAACTTCAGAAGCTGATTTTCAAAAGCTTCTTCAAGAGGCCGCATCAGTCGGTTCGACGTCTTTTCCTTCTATTATAGAAGAAGAAGATGAAGATGAAGACACAATTTATGATCTCAATGATCCATTTTTGGATTCTCAACCACCTTTGTAGATATCATCATTTCAATGACTGAATAGTCGTTAAACTAATTAAAAAAAAAAAGATCCGTGAATGTAATATGTTCCCTGACATATTCCATTCAACTTTCCTTCTTTTGGAATATATGCATCATTACATAATGCATATATTTACAATTATCCATGTTCATCAATTTCTCAATGAAATGATGAAAATAGGAAAAAGTACATTAATAATAGAAAAACAAAAATAGTAATATTCCAAAAGAAGGAAAGTTGAATGGAATATGTCACCGAATATATTCCATTCACGGATTTTTTTTTAATTGGTTTAACGACTATTCAGTCATTGAAATGATGATATCTACAAAGGTGGTTGAGAATCAAAAAATGGATCATTGAGATCATAAATTGTGTCTTCATCTTCTTCTTCTATAATAGAAGGAGAAGACGTCGAACCGACTTATGCGGCCTCTTGAAGAAGCTTTTGAAAATCAGCTTCTGAAGTTGTCTGGGCTAATGCAGCGAGTAGCTTCGACTTTGAATTAAGGAATTCGGAGGTCCTCTTTTTGGATAAATCCTGAAGGTGGCCATTCTCAGATAGCCAGACATTTATCGCTTTGATGTCTGCGTGGGTATAAGTATATTTATCCCACCATTTGATTTTGATAGTTTTGAAGACCTGTTTTATTTGGTCTTCGGTTTCTTTAATTTGAAAATTCCAAGTTAAAATCCAAGGAATTTGAAAGTATACGCAAAAGCGCATGGTTAATGGAAATGGGATTTTGAATATATTTTGAATGAAGTAGTGGAATGATTCCTGTATTGGGACGGAAAATATATCTTTGGCTGATCGAAAGATTTTCCACCATTTGATGAACCAATATGGGTAATGAATTTTATGAGCATTCTGTCAGAATTGAATAAACCATGAGTGCTCGTAATTTTGATACCAAATGACATTGAACCATGCCATTTGATAGTCTCTGTATGAGTAAGAATGAGGAACAAAAGGTTTTGAAAAAGTCTTTTCCGTGTATGGATCTTGATTCCAATACGTCGGGTTCATGACTTTAATATATTTTTAATTTTGAATACGCGATTTTCGAAGGATCATCGCGACTCAGAATATGAGTAATTTCGACGGACTTTGTGTCGACTAGAATGAATTCATAAAACTTTCTGGTTTTATGAAGATCTTCTGCGATATAAAAGAATCCCGAAGGATAGGCTTTTTTAACGACTTCGCTGATTTTCGGGTCGTCGTATTCTGGTTCTACCAGAGCTTCTGGTATAGACACAGATTTTTGAAAATAGGTCTTGATTTCAGGAACTGGAGAAAACCGAACGGGAACAACAGCGTCCGAGTAGGTCGAGGGGACAGAAGGTCCCTTTGAAGTGGAAGAGATAGTGGGTCTCGATGGAGTAACGGCAGATGGCCGTGTTGAAGAGGCAGAAGGCCTCGTCGGAGTGATAACCTCCGCTTGTTTTTTAGAAAGCTTTACTTTAGATCTGGTCACCAGCATCCATCGCATAGCTGTCGGATGTCATTGGAGTAGGTGTGCTTGAAGAAGCATTGGGTTTCTTCCCTTTTTCGATTACTTTCTTTCCGGTCATTGCTGGGAGAAAGAGATTGGTTAGGGAGAATTTTTCTTTGAGAGTAAGAACTCTCTTGGGAGGTAATCTACCAAGGGGTTTTCGACCCCTTTTATAGACAAAATTTGGAAGTCGAAGAAAGATAAAATGGCTTGCCATCTAGCAAAAATTTGTTTAGACACAAGATTCTTGACATCTTTTTCTAAAACAAATTTAGATGCCTTTGAATCTATTTTGATAACAAAGCTTTTGTTAATTAAATCACTTTGAAATTTTTGTACACAGAGTATTATTGAAAGTATTTCTTTCTTTCCTGTTGAGTAATTTTTTTTGAGTAGAATTCCATATTCCCGAATGGAAACAGACAATGGATTCTTTCTTGTCAAGGGACTGTTTTAGGATTCCTCCATATCCAATATCGGATGCGTCGGTCTCTACTATTAAACTAGCCCTTGGGTTTATTAGCGATAAACACAGAATTGACTTGACAAGGGATTTGATTTTTTGGACGGTTTTGGTGTGTTCTTCAGTTCAGGGCTTTGGATTCTTTTTTAGCCTCTCAAAAAGAGGCTTGCAGATGGTCTGATATTTTGAAGGAAATCAGACACATAATTGAGACATCCCAAAAATCTTTGTAGTTGGGTTTTATCTGTAATTTGGTTTGGAAAGTTTGAGGCAAACTCAATAGACCTTTGAATGGGTTTAATTAGACCCAAATGAATTTCAAATCCAAGAAAACGGATTTTTGGTTGAAAAAGTTTAATTTTGGGTTTAGACACAACTAAACCGTTTCTTTTGACTGTCGTAAAAAATGTTTGAAGATGCTTAAAGTGTTGATCGATGTTTTGAGAAAAAATCAGAACATCGTCAATATAAACAATTGAAAAGTCTTGAGAAGGATTGAAAATATCATTCATAATCTTTTGAAATTCGGATGGAGCGTTTTTTAGCCTAAATGGCATAACGTTCCATTCGTTTTGTCCGAAAGGGACATTGAAAGCCGTTTTGATAGCTGGGCGAATAGCCCTTGTGTTCCAGGTGGTAAGATGCGGGAAGCGCAATAAGTCCGTTGGCAAGCTTGGGTGCTTAGTCATATGAAAAATTCTGAAGAAAAATCTTATCTACATCCTGACAACTTTATCAGAGACAAAAAAGAGATTGACAACTTGTCAGCCACACAGCGAAGGCTCACATGCCAATTATCAATGTCGGTAAACTATTAGTCTTTTAAATTATTAGTTTACTTTATGTCTTTTAGGACAACAGATCTTGAAGGGGTCATGTCTTGCTAGATTCGATCTTATCTCTTAGTTGGCGTTTTTCAAATTTACGTTCAAATTCGAAGTCTATAAAAGGACTTCATCAATGTAAAGAGAGCATCGATCGGCCGATAGCTCTCTCTTGAATATCAATTGAAGAATTCAGAGAAAAATCATTCTACTCTATCTCTTATCTATCTTATGAACGAATTTCTTAGAAAGCTCAGAAAATCAAACCATCTCAAATGCTCTACCGATGAAGAAGAAAGTTCAAATGAACATAGAAGGGGAGACAATCTCACCATCTCAAATACTGTCAATCAAGAATATCAGATTGCCAGAATCGAAGATCAACTCCCAAATTGGACTATTCCAAAGGTAGGTCCTAAAACTATCTACCAAATTTCAACCTTCAATTTTACTCAAAGATCATGCATCAAATTCTCAGAGAAAAACATCCCAATACATAACAATAGGGAATCTCTGAATCTTTTTTCAAGATCTCTTATACTCCAACATCGTGAAGAGTTTAACTATCTCCATGTCGGTCTTGTCCAAGTCGCTGAAAAACCATTGTTCAGACTTGGATTAGATATCCCAGTCCTTATCTCCTTACGAGATAAGAGACATGAAGATTTCTCAAATTCTTTGTTGGGAATGGTTCAATCCAATCTAGAGAATGGACCAGTCTATTTCAATTGTTATCCAAATTTTACTCTGTCACTCCACGACCCACATATATTATCAGCTCTCATGCTGGATTTACAATCAAAAAATTTAAACATCAAGGCTGAAACTCATTCTTCAGTCGTCATATTTAGGGTTTATTATAAGCTCATGAATACAAACATTTCTCCAAGAGCATTAAGATCCTCACCAAAAGGATCAACTATGCTCATAGAAGCGAATATTGGAAAATCACCAGTGACTGCCCCAAAAACACTCTCTTGGGATCAAATAACCAGAAGCACTCTCTGGAAAATAGAAGATGCAAATCTTTCAAAAAGAAAAGAATCTCAAAACCCAGTCCAAATCATCGAACATGACGATGGAAGCGTTGAAATAAAATTCAACGAAGAACCTTCAGGAATATCAAGATCGATGTATGACCCCTTAAAAGTAAAAGAGGTCAGTTATGATAAAAAAAAGGGCGTCAATCCACTGAGGATGGCTCAAGGTCTCCAACCCATACGGATATGGATACTCAATCCGTCTACGAAAGCCAGCTAAATGTCATTACAGCTGATTTCCAGATAGACAAAGAATTTTTGAAAGCTGATTTTATGTCAACCACCAACTCTTCAAAAAGAAATGCCTTCTTCCAAACCTACAAAGAGGCTGAGCGAAATGAATTGAGAGCTCAGTGGTATTCTCATATGGAAGCCATTGAAGAAAATATACCATTCTTCGAATGGTTTGAAGAAAATATTTTGCAGGTATGCACCTTGACTTAGAGGAGTTGGAAGACTACCAAAAGAGGCGAGGTATATTCGAAACATCCTCCGTTAGAAGAAGTCGAATTCGACAACTACTACGGAGAAAAGGTCAAAGCTAGTCCTTTCAAAAATATTCCAGAAGGATTAGAAAAGAGTAATCCGACCCTAAGGGATATCAAGAATATTCAGCATCAAAACAATTACTCAAATAAGATTTTATCCACGATCGCTACTCAATTCGAGAGCATCGAGGGAAAAATCTCAAAGAAATCAGGTACTCAGCAGGAACAGGCAAGCAGCTCTGTACCAAAGGTTGATGAGTCAATACCAATACTCAGACCGGCAAATCTCGAAATATTTACAAAAAGGATTTCAAAAGAAGAGGTTGCAATGGCCAAAATAGAGGAAAAATTGGACAGGATACTAAATCCCGCCATGACGCCTCAAGATTCATCTGTCAATGTCGTTAACAATGATGGCGAGATCCAAGAATCCGAAGACGAGATTGCAAATGAGAGAGAAGAACCTTTCTACAACCGAATTGAAAGGATCTCTAGGAGTCAAAATAATACCAGTAATCAGAAAAACTGGTACCTTCAACCGTCTTTTCCGGATATCCAGTTCGAAGAAAAGACACTGCAAACTCAAGCTCATTACGATGGTCTAGCAATCTATGAATGGAATATCGATGGGTTGTCTGACTATCTGATAATGAATGTTGTCAATGAGATGATGATGGCCGCAGGCGCGTATAAATTACAGGGCCATAAATCCGACCATCAGATAGCTAAAGTTTTAGTAACTGGATTTACCGGGCAACTCAAAGACTGGTGGGACAAATATCTCGACGAAACAACTCGCCAACAGATATTAAACCACTATATCGTAAGGCCAACTACTCAAATCATCAAAGAAGAAGGTCCATTAACTAGGACCGAAGTACAACATGAAAGGGTAGAGGATGCTGTCAACACCCTCATATATACCCTCATAGAATTCTTCGTCGGCGACCCTCTGAAATACCAGGAGAGATCCGTCGAGATACTCATGAATCTGAAATGCCCTACCTTAGGTGATTTCAGGTGGTACAAAGACATGTACTTCAGCAAAGTTCTTATTAGCACAGATAGTTCGTTGGAATTCTGGAAAGAGAATTTTGTCAATGGACTACCAAAACACTTCTCAAGGAGGATCAAAGATGGTCTTAAGACAAAGTATAATGGAACAATTCCATGGCAAACTTTGTCATACGGATCCATAGCATCCTTCATCATAGAAGAAGGACTCAGACTTTGTAATGAGTCAAAGATTCAAAACAAGCTCAATTCTTCGATATCAAACAGAAAAGAGCTTGGAAGATTTCGCGATCAATATGGATGCAAGGGGATAGAAGCTCCCTCAACGTCCAGACGAAAGAAGGTTAAAACGCATCCAAAACCTTATCATTCATACAGGCCTAGAGAAACATATCGGAATAAACCCGTGCAGTCTCAAAAGCCAACGTATTCAAGAAGAAAGTATACTCCTACAAAACCCCATAAAGGAAAGAAAAGGCAAACTTGCTTCAAATGTCGTGAAGAAGGACACTATGCTAACAAGTGTCCGATCAGAGGAAAGATCAATGAGTTGGATATAGATCAAGAGCTGAAAAATCAGCTATTACGACTGACCCTAATCGACTCAGAGCAATCAAGCGAGGGAGAAATCCTTGAACTCCAAGAAGAATCCGATTCATATTCTAGCACCGAATACGAATCAGAATAGGAGGGAAAAAGGACATGCGAAGGATGCATAAATGTCCTTACAAAGGATCAAGAAATTCTACTCAAAGTAGTAGAAAAAGTTCAAGATCCAGAAATTGAACAGAAAATTGCTCAACGACTTAGAGATGCCATGACAATCTCTAAGCCACCTGAAAGGGAAGAAAGAAATCCCTACAGATTCCAATCTGTTCTCCAAAGATTTGAAAAACCAAGGGAACTCACTACTCAAGATTTACAAAGAGAGATTAATAATCTCAAACTAGGTCAGAATCTTATATGCTTTGTCAAGAAATTCTCAATCTTCGGGAAAGGCAGCCCGAACAAAGGGAAACGGCGCAACCGAACCTGGACGAAGAAGATTTTCAAAGTTCCTTCGTTGGAACCATCACCACTTCTTAATATCAAAAATGGTACGCTCTCGTTACCTTAAAAATTTATGATTTCAAAATCACACTAAAGGCTCTCATAGATACTGGAGCCGATCAAAATTGCATAGGCCTAATCCCTACAAAGTATTTTGAAAAAACTACTGAGGGCCTTAGAGATGCTAACAACAACAAACCCAAAATTAATTACAAACTATCAAAAGTTCATGTTTGCAATGATGGAATTTGCTTCGTAAATTCCTTCCTTTTAGTAAAGGACTTAGGACAAGAATTAATCCTAGGTACTCCTTTCATTACTCAATTATATCCTTCTAGAATAACTGAAAAAGGGTTAGAATCAAAGTCCTTAGGAAAGAAGATAAAATTTAACTTCCTTTCCCCACAAGGATTAGTGAAATAAATAACCTTCAAAAGAATACAATTATTCAATCAATAAATGTATTAAATTATAAAGAAAAACAAATTTCTTTTGTAAAAGAAAAAATTTCATTCAAAAGAATAGAAGAACAGATTCAAACTAAGGCTGAAATTTCATTTAAAAGAATAGAAGAACATATTCAAAATAAGGCTGTCCAGTCTAAAATCATAACTTTACAAACTCAAATAGAAAAGGAAATCTATTCAACTATCCCTAATGCCTTTTGGAATAGGAAGCAACACATAGTTGATCTTCCTTATATCAAAACTTTCGAGGAGAAAAATATTCCTACGAAGGTCCGACCTATTCAAATGAATAGAGAACTACTAACATTCTGCAAAGCAGAAATCAATGATCTTTTGCAGAAGGGTCTTATTAGACAGTCAAAAAGCTCCTGGTTATGTGCGGCTTTTTATGTCAACAACCAGGCAGAAAAGGAACGTGGAGTCCCGCGACTGGTAATAAACTACAAACCCTTAAATAAGGTTTTGGAATGGATTAGATATCCAATTTCAAATAAATCAGATTTAATGCAAAGAATTTCAAATGCCAAAATATTTTCAAATTTTGATATGAAATCAGGATTTTGGCAAATCCAGATTTCAGAAAAAGACAAGTACAAAACGGCTTTCAATGTCCCTTTCGGACAATACAAATGGAAAGTTATGCCATTTGAGCTAAAAAACGCTCCATCCGAATTTCAAAAGATTATGAATGATATTTTCAATCCTTTTCAAAACTTTTCAATTGTTTATATTGACGATGTTCTAATTTTTTCTCAAAACATCGATCAACACTCTAATCATCTTCAAACATTTTTTACGACAGTCAAAAGAAACAGTTTAGTTGTTTCTAACCCAAAATTAAACTTTTTCACACAAAAATCCGTTTTTTTGGGTTTGAAATTCATTTGCGTCTAATTAAACCCATTTAAAGGTTCATTGAGTTTGCCACAAACTTTTCAGACCAAATTACAGATAAAACTCAACTACAAAGATTTTTGGGATGTCTCAACTATGTGTATGATTTCCTTCAAAATATCAGACCCATCTGCAAGCCTCTTTTTAAGAGGTTAAAAAAGAATCCAAAGCCCTGGACTGAAGAACGCCAAAACAATCCAAAAAATCAAATCCCTTGTCCAGTCAATTCCGTGTTTATTGCTGATAAACCCAAGGGCTAGTTTAATAGTAGAGACCGATGCATCCGATATTGGATATGGAGGAATCCTAAAACAGTCCCTTGACAAGAAAGAATCCATTGTCCGTTTCCATTCGGGAATATGGAATTCTACTAAAAAAAATTACTCAACCGTAAAGAAAGAAATACTTTCAATAGTACTTTGTGTACAAAAATTTCAAAGTGATTTAATTAACAAAAGCTTTGTTATCAAAACAGATTCAAGGGCATCTAAATTTGTTTTAGAAAAAGATGTCAAGAATCTTGTGTCTAAACAAATTTTTGCTAGATGGCAAGCCATTTTATCTTGCTTCGACTTCCAAATTTTGCCTATAAAAGGGGTCGAAAACCCCTTGGCAGATTACCTCTCATGAGAGTTCTTACTCTCAAAGAAAAATTCTCCCTAACCAATCTCTTTCTCCCAGCAATGACTGGAAAGAAAGTAATCGAAAAAGGGAAGAAGTCCA